ACATTTGCAAAACGCTGCCTTTCTCCATCCTGTGAAATCACTTGTGGGGAAAGGGTGTAAAAAAATTTTAAAATTTAAAATTTCCTTTCTTTTATGCCCCCCCATGGGTTTTAAAAGGGGACAAGTGCTGAGAATTTCCAAAATTTTAAATTTCCCTAGACAAAGGTTTTTTTTATAGGGTTTCCCCTTTTGGCCAAAATCTGGGAAAAGGGAACAGTTACCAAAGTGGCCAAAAAAGGGAAAAGTTTTTCAAGGAAAGGGAAAAGAAATCCACCACATTTGGGGTTTGGCCCGTAGTGACATACTAGTCCATGAACTAGACCCAAGTGTTACTAAGAGATTGATCACTCAAGGGAACCCCTTTCCCAAAATTAAAAGCTTTTCCCAAAAACAAAAACCCAAAAAAAATTGGTTAAACAAAGAGAAATTGGGATCCATTTCTCTTCACAATATAAAAATTTCCAAAAAAATGGGCTCCATGGCCCGAGCATAAAACCCCCCAATGTAGTAAATTTATGAATTGCATGGCACTGTTTCACACTAATACAATAGAGCATCATTGGCAAAGAGTCCTATAAGCCCAATGAATAATGGTCAATACTGCACATACGTGGATTCTTAAAATGTTACAAAACCCCTAACAGTAAAATCATCTGTATATTATTATAATAACTTATTTTAAAAAGCCTCCAAAATTGCTCAGGCGCTGTAGGAAGTCATTACAAAGGACAGAACATGTGACATAACAATACCACGAACAATCAAAACATGAGGGATCGAGGTCCGCTCTCTTTCGAGCTTACAGTCAAGGGGGGATGGGATGGTGGCCACAGGCAAGGATACGTGTTGGGGATGGAGTGGGGGGAGGAGTTGAGGTGATAGTCGGCAAGACACAGGGTGGGTAGGCCTTCCCTAAGAATGGGTTTACTGGTGCGCATAAAAGGAGAGGGAGCTAGGTGATAATCTATGGTTGGGGCAGGGGGTTCCCGGGGGTTGGTGACACCCCGGAGAAGCCTGGAGGGGGGGCAAAGGAGGAGGGGGACCAGGGGAAAAAAAAGAGAAGGGGGTTTGTGAGGGGCGGGGGGTGGGGCGTGCTGGGGGGGTACTTGGGTATTAGGTTTAAATGGGTTTTTAGTTCGGGCAGTATTTTGGACGGGCCTTTTTAGTTTAGGTTTGGGGTTTTTTAATTTTTTATTTTCCTTCCAAAGGAAGACAGGGGAGGGTTTTGGCCCGGGGGGGTGGCGGGGGGGAAAAAGGCGGGTTTGGGAAAGGGTTTTTTGAGTTGGGAGCCGTAATTTAGGACGACGAAGCAAGGATAAACCTTGATTAGGCAGGGCCCTGAGGGGGGGAGTTTACAGAAAAGGGGTCCCTGATAGGATAGGGGAGTGGATGAATATATATATTTCCCGTATATGCGTCATGCTTGTTATCTCACTGTGGAAAACCCAAGGGGGTTTTTCCTCTGCAGTGTTAAAAATGTGTTTGTTTCCCGACTTTTTTCTGCTCCTTCCCCTTTTCAATGGGCCCCCCTTATCTCCAAAAAGAAATAAAAGTCCGGCCGAAATTGGGTTTGGCACCCCTTTATATTTTTTCCCGAAAATTCCCAAATATTTCACACAAAAAAGGTATTTATTTTTAACACCCTTTTTGCTATACACATTTTTTTTCCCTTTGTATTTATTGGAAAAAAAAATTTAAAAACCCGAGGCAGGAAAAAAACAAATTTTGAACCCTAATGTCACACAAAACCCCAAAAAAAGGGGTGGACAAAAGTTTGGACCCCTTTAAATTAATATTTTTGCACACCCTTTGGAAAACATAAATGAAAATCAGTCGATTTTCCCAAAAACCATCAATAACTTCGACACCCCCTCACCCGGAAATTTTTGGGCCACTCTCCTTTGCAAACGCTCCCGGTCTCCTTATTGGAAGGACAACCTTTTTTCCCCAAAGCAATTTTTTTATCTCTCCACCCGGTTTCAATGGGAAAATTTTGTTTTGGGCTCATTGGGTGGCCACCAGAACTTCCACGCTTCTTTCCCCTCCAAATTTCTGAGGGGGCTTTTTCCGGGATGTTTGGGGGCATTGGGCCTGCGGGAAAAACCCAGGACTTGGGCGCCAAAACCCCGCTTTTTGAAATGGGTTTCTGGACCCAAAATCCTTTGGTTTAAACCCCAATTTCATGATGCCTTGCACACAGTCAAGGCAAACCCCGTGCCGAAGGGAGAAAAAAAACCCCCAAAAACATTTATTGAACCTCCCCCAATTTTACCGTAGGTACTGTGTTTTGGGTTTTTTTTGTTTGGGGGCATTCCGTTTTTTGGGGGGAAAAATAGAAATTTATTGCTTTACCCAAAAAACTCTTTTCTTTGGGCTCAATTTTTCCCAAAAACGTTTTCCCCCAAAAGGGTTTTTTGGGTTAATCAAGTACATTTTGGCAAAACCCGTTTGTTTTTTGCTTTTTTATTTTCCTTGTTCACATGGGGTCCCCCCCTGGGTCTCCCGCCATAAAAGTTTTATTTCATTTTAAATTTTGGCCCGAAAAGTTTTGCGCTGACACTATGGGTCCCTGAGCCGCCGGACAGCCTTTTAATGTCTTTGGAAAATGTTTGGGGCGGGTTTTCCCCATCCGGGCTATTCTGCTTTTCAATCTTTTTTATCAAATTTTCCCCATCCGTCCCCACCAGGAGATTAGCCCACATGCCATGGGTTTTTCAAAATTTTTTGATTAAAGTTGCGCCTTGGCAAAAAGGGAAATCTAGTTTCTAGATGGATTTAACCTTTTAATTTTTGATATTTTGCCACAAATTTTGGGTTTTCAGGTCCCCCAAAAGTTTCGTTCCTCTTTCTGGTTTCCTGCTTTATTGGGACAAAACAAACACCCAATGCAAAGGGTTTTAAATGACGTCTCTTTATTTTTTTATCTGCTTTCAGGTGTGGGTTTTATATTCCCAACACCCTTTTCTTGCCCCAGGTTTGTATGGTGTGGAGTCACTCTACACATGCTTAGTTTGGTGTGTATTGCTAACAAGGGGTTTTTTTTTTATCTTGGGAGAGTGCATGTGAACAGCACAGGGCCAATCAGCACTGTCCAGACAGAGGTCAGGGGTTCTGCATCCTCCTAGAGCAGAAAGAAAACTCTTCCTACAAGCTTTAACCAATGCTCTGGTGGACACTGATAGGAATCACAAAGACTGCTCTAACTGCTGATGAGAAAAGATATTTAGCAGTTTATATTTACTAAAATAATTGCATTTTCATGTTCTGTGTACTGTGGGAGACCAGATATAGTGAATGCAGGGTCCGGAGAGACCAGATATAGTGAATACAGGGTCCGGGGAGACCAGATACAGTGAATGCAGGGTCCAGGGAGACCGGATATAGTGAATGCAGGGTCTGGGGAGAGCAGATATAGTGAATGCAGGGTCTGTGGAGAGCGGATATAGTGAATGCAGGGTCCGGGGGAGACCAGATATAGTGAATGCAGGGTCCAGGGAGACCGGATATAGTGAATGCAGGGTCTGGGGAGACCAGATATAGTGAATGCAGGGTCCGGGGAGAGCAGATATAGTGAATGCGGGGTCCGGGGAGAGCAGATATAGTGAATGCAGGGTCCGGGGAGAGCAGATATAGTGAATGCAGGGTCGGGGAGAGCAGATATAGTGAATGTAGGGTCCGGGGAGACCAGATATAGTGAATGCAGGGTCCAGGAGACCGGATATAGTGAATGCAGGGTCTGGGGAGACCAGATATAGTGACTGCAGGGTCTGTGGAGAGCGGATATAGGGAATGCAGGGTCCGCGGAGACCAGATATAGTGAATGCAGGGTCAGGAAGACCAGACATAGTGAATGCAGGGTCCAGGAAGACCAGACATAGTGAATGCAGGGTCCAGAAAGACCAGATATAGTGAATGCAGGGTCCGGGGGGACCGGATATAGTGAATGCAGGGTCTGGGGAGACCGGATATAGTTAATGTAGGGTCCGGGGAGAGCAGATATAGTGAATGCAGGGTCCGGGGAGACCAGATATAGTGAATGCAGGGTCCGGGGAGACCGGATATAGTGAATACAGGGTCCGGGGAGACCACATATAGTGAATGCAGGGTCCAGGGAGAGCGAATATAGTGAATGCAGGGTCCAGGGAGACTGGATATAGTGAACGCAGGTTCCGGGGAGACCATAAAGTGAATGCAGGGTCCGGGGTTTAGTAGTACTTTAAAACACAATTGCAGATGAAACCAGACTGTTGGCTTCTTTTGCACATACTACTCATCACAGTTATAATGTAGCACATAATGCTCTCTAACAATAGAACAATAGAAGAGTAAAGATCCTGCACTCAGTACAATGCTGATGTAGCTAATAGTAAACTACTTCCAGTCGGATCACAAACACTGCAGCTGCTGACTTTTAATTTTTTGCAAACACCCTGAAGATCCTCTAAGTCATACAAAACAGGTCCACCCAAACAGTAAGCCCCACCGCTAACCAGACCCAACTCACCTGTGACCTGCCTTTGGCAAAGAGCACATCCACTTCATCCAGGACCAGATGGCAAAGTCGCAGAAGTAGTAGTCCATGGTGCTCCATACACCTCAACAAGCAGTGCGGAGTTGTGACTACCAAGCAACCTTGTCATACAAAAATAAAATGAATTACATCGTGGGCCAAGTGATAAATTCACTAAAAGTATGATTAAATTCAGCAAATCATTCTTTTTCTCTAATGGAAAGGTTTTAGTGTGTTCTGGAAGGTATATAACAAACAACCTTTTGCCACACAAATGAAATGCCTCTATCTTTAAAGCTGAACCTTATTTTCAGATATTAATATTCAACTATATATTAAGGAGTCTGCTCGACATCCACCTTAAGTCCACAACAATTGAACCACAGAAGGATTTGTAGGTGCGAACTGAACTCACATTGTCTCCTCAAGTTGAGGCCTTCAATCTCTTCCTTTGACCGCCCCACCAGCACCAACATGGGGTTCACCAGCTGCACATATCTGCTGTAATCCATGAGAAGATTATAAACTGTGTGGCACTTATCCCAAGAAGGGCACAACACGATCGCATGTGGCTGAAAGACAAAAAACACGACTGTTACAATGGTACAATGCCACCAAGGCATGGCTAAAAATGTTGCTTCTTCCACAAAACTAACATGCCTTAAAGCCAAAGCAGCCATCAAAATAGGATTTTTGTACTCACCATAAAATCCTTTTCTAGGAGGCCACTGAGGTATGGAAACTCTTTAGCCTTCAGATATTGTTGCCTACAGGATTTGACTATAGGCTAGCCCAGGATAACCACCCCCTACTGCTAGCATGCCTCAGATCTGTAGCCAAGCATGATGATAAAAAACACAGAGGGGAGGGACCTGTGTCCCTTAATAAATGCCAAGAAAACCATTTTATAGTAAAAACAAAAATGAGTGTTTTACCTACCTGTAACTCTATATCGTGGATGCAGGATTTGTATTCATAGACTAGAGGGTTATGTGCTGCTACCTTCAAGTGATTGGACGTTGACAAAAGCTTTGCTAGGAATGCCCCCATATATCCCGCCCACTCCATGGGACTCATGGGACTGTGTCCTGTACTGTACTCCCAGATATGGAATTTACAAGTGACCCAAAATATTCAGACTTTGGGTTCATAGACATCCACAACCGATATACATGGCTGGCAAGGCTGGAACTAAGATCTGCACAAGAAAGCCAATCTACCTCTTGCCGCAGTGAGATATCTGGTTCCTCCCTGATGGTTGAACTATGCCACTATGCTAGGGGGGAGAGGGGGAAGGGGAAGGGAGAAGGGAGGGGAAGGGAGAGGGGATAGAGAGGGGGGGAGGGGAGGAGGGAGCTGGGGGGAGAGGGGAGGAGAAGGGAGAAGGGATAGAGAGGGGAGGGGAGGAGGGAGGGGGGAAGAGGGGAGGAGGGAGGGGGGAAGAGGGGAGGGGGGAAGAGGGGAGAGGGGGGAGGGAGAGGGGGGGGGGAGAGGGAGAGGAGGGAGAGGGAGGGGGGGGTAGAGGGAGGGGAGGGGGGTAGAGGGAGGGGGGAGGGGAAGGAGGGAGGGGCAGAGGAAAGGGAGGAGAGGGAGGGGAGGAGAGGGAGTGGGGGAGAAGGAGGGGGGGGGAGAAGGAGGGGGGGAGAAGGAGGGGGGGGAGGAGGGGCGGAGGGGGGGAAGAGGGGTGGGGGGAGAAGGAGGGGCGGAGGAGGGGAGAAGGAGGGGCGGAGGGGGGAGAAGGAGGGGCGGGGGGACGGAGGGGAGGGGGAGAAGGAGGGGGGGGGGGGAGGGAGGGGGAGGGGGGAGGGGCGGGGGGAGGGAGGGGGAGAGGGGGGGAGGGGGAGGGGAGGGGGAGGGGAGGGGAGAGAGGGAGGGGGAGGGGAGGGGGAGGGAGGGGAAAGGAGAGAAACATGTGAAAAGGAAAAAGGAAAGAGATATAGATGGAAAGAAAAAAAAGAAACATGGGAAGATTGAAAGCGAGACGGAAGAAAAAGAGAGAAGGCGATGGAGAGAAATAGGAAAATAAGAGTGATGCAAAGTGAGGGTAGAGGTGGTAAGAGGAAAGAGACAGTGAGATGGGAAGAGGAAAGATAGGAAGAGAAAGACGGGAACTGATAGATGGGAAGAGGAAGGCTATAAACACATACTGTATATACTTCACAAACAGACACACACTTTATATATTGTTACGTATTTGAACCAACATTTATGTCTGCGGGACAAGACAGCAAAAGATATAAAGAGAGTGCCCATTCTTACCCCGTGTTTTGCTGGCAGTACTTTGTACACCGCTGATGCACAGTTAAGGTAAGTCAGAAGAGGTGGAATATAACACATGGGGTTTGAACAATCAGGAGAGATGCCAATTGTGTCAGATCCTTCAGCGATCGGAGCCCAGCAGTATGATTCTGTCAAGTTGGGTCCGTTGTAGCCAGTCGCCATCAACCGCTGCAAAACATACAAGTCTAATATAGTTGCATTCTCTTTGCAAGATTCCAAGTGGGGTGTCCCTGACTGTGCTGGTCATATTAACCACTATTATGTATATCTTCCAGTTTGTCTTTTTTTTCTGATCCACAATACAGAGTGTCTTACTATGTGATTTATTTAGAAATCCATTAAACGTGTGTACAAAAGACACTTTTTTCTCAATTCTATAAAATATAACCATACCTCCATCACCAAAGTAGCAGGACTGTGATAAATCGCTCGCCTGCCTGGCAAAGGGTGTACCCCCCCATCACCATGGTAATGTACCAGTCTTCCCATTTCTATAGCAGTATAACAGTACTGTGGCTTTAGCTAAGAAACCGTTTGTCCGCATGGCAGCAAGGGACAGTCTTCTCAATCCCAAGGGCAACAGGACAGATTCCTCAGGTGAAGTAGCAATGAAAAAAGATGTCTCTGACCTTATGGCATAAACAGACCACTCTGCCACCCTTGCAACTGAGCCAACCCTTTCCATACCATGGCAATGCGGTCAATCCCTCCATCACAGTGGCAGCAGCAAACTGACCATACCCCTTTTCACTACAACAGAGCCATTACTATCACAGGATTAACAATACTGGCCAATAATGAGCAATGCCTGTAGGTACTAAAGTGGTTTGCTGCAAAAGAGAAACAAGTGTTAATTCAATATATCATTCCTACAAATCATTGGTTCCCAACCTTAAGTCTTTCAGTATCCCCAACAGGCCAAGTTTTGGAGAGATTTCCCTTGGATATCATAAATACCAAGCCATTGACACTGATGTGCAAGGTGAGGGAAATCCTGAAAACAAGACTTGCTGGTGGTACTTGAGGACCGATGTTGGGAACCACTGCTGTAAATGATGCAACCCCAAGTTCAAAACAAGTTGGGAAACTGTAAAATCTACATAAAACAACGCAATGATTTGCAAATCTCATAAACCCATATTTCATTCACAATAGAAAATAGAAAACATATCACATGTTTAAATTGAGAAAATGTACCATTTTTTTTTTTTTTTTTAAAAAAGGGTAATTTTGAAATAGCAGCAACACATCTCAAAAACAATTGGGGCAGGGCCATGTTTACCATGGTGTAGCCTCCCCCTCTTCTTTTAACTGTAAATGTCTGGGAACAGAGGAGACCAGTTGCTGGAGTTTTGGGAGAGGAATGTTGCCCCATTCTTGCCTCATTAGAATTCTGACTGCTCAACAGTCGTAGGTCTTTTTCTATTTTTACTTTTGTTTCAAGATGTGCCAATTATTTACAATTGGTGAAAGGTCTGAACTGCAGGCAGGCCAGTTAAGCACCCAGACTCTTCTACTTCGGTTTAGTATTGCCCTGCTGAAATATGTAAGGCCTTCCCTGAAAAAGACGTCATTAGGTTTCAGTACTGATGGTGCCTTTTCAGATGTGCAAGCTGCACATACATGCTAATGAACTCACATGCCACCAGAGATGCGGGTTTTTGAACTGATAAACTGGAAATGTCCTCTCCTCTGGAGAACGTAGCGCTCATGGTTGGCAAAAAAAGTTTGATTTGTCTGACGACAGAACATTTTCCACTTTGCAACAGACCATTTTTTGGCCCAGAGAATATAACGGCGTTTCTGCATCATGTTCAGATTATGCCTTTACCTTGCAGGGGGTGTTTTTTTTCTTCTTTTTCTTTAATGCAGTTTACGACCGCTTTAAAACCTAAATAATCTCATTCAGGAATGGACAAAACATTTTGATATATACACACAGATAAGCATCCATTTACAGCAGCCTTACCTTTTTAATACCAGAACAAAGAAGAGCAGATTCCAGGGTGTGATAAGCTGTTAAAGTCTTGCTGACGAATACTGCTTGCTGGTGTATTCTAACAGGCTTTGGCTGCTAAGAAATCAAATACAGGTCAACATGGTATAGTCATATATTCAAACAGTTCCCACTCCTGGTACACGCATCACCTCATTTATGGTTTACCCTAAACACTACAATCAACAAAAAATGTTCAAGTTTACCTATAAAACATTTGTATTTGCCCTTTACCCATTTGCCCTCCTGAGGTCCCCCCCTCCTGACCTGGCCATTTTTTTGCGTTACTTTAACTGACAATTGCGCAGTCATGCAACTCTGCACCCAAATGAAATTTACATCCTTATTTCCCCACAAATAGAGCTTTCTTTCAGTGGTATTTGATCGC